GGGAGAAAGAAAGAGGGAAAGAGAAACAGCTGAGAAGAGGGACGGGGGAGAAGGGCAAAAGACAAAAACCAACAGAACGGGCAGAGAAAAAAGAAGAAGAAAAAAAGAAGAAAATAAACATGTCATTAAACAGGTTTATTAACATGTTAATAAACCTGTTTAATAACATGTTTATAAACATTATTGGGGGTGGCTGTAGCTCAGGTGGCAGAGCAGGTCAGCCACTAATCAGAAGGTCGGTGGTTCGATCCCAGGCTGCCTCCTGGCTGCATGCCAACATGTTATTAGACAGGTTTATTAACATGTTAATAAGCATGTTATTAAACATGTAAGAACCCATATTGAGTAATAAATAGCTAGAGCTGTACAACACACTTTATTCTTTCGTTATGACACCCTGTGACATCACGAGGACGTCAGAACATCCTGACGTCATCACATCATAATAAAATGTCATAAACCATGAAAGAGCGTGACAGCGCGGCTGTCAGGGAGATGCGCTCTGATTTGTTTGTGGAATAAATAATATTGAAATGAAAAGCGCAGCGCTTTACTGAGTAAAGGGCTGTCGCTGAGGTCTCCATGACGACGAAATGGGGTCAGAATCGATCAGCTGACCATTTCACAGATCCTTTTATGGCTGAAAGCTCTGTGGCCTCTGACCTCTGTGCAGTCTGATTCAAAATGAGAATTCAGCTGACTGAAGCTGTGAGTGATGTCACACCAGCACTGCTCTCAGATTGGTTTTCGTTAAATCGGCTCAATGAGTTTGAACGCTCAGGAGGCGTGGCAGCCAGCACAGACCGGGCGAGATGTGCTCAGAGACAGTAGGAAACTCACCCAGTGCGCCCTGGCAGATATCAGTCCTGGTGGCCCCGCCCACAATGAACTCCGGTTTAGAGACGAGCTCCTGGAAGACAAACCAGAGACAGTGTTAATGATGCTGGTCAGGGCCACGCCCACTCAGAGCGGGGAACACAGAGGGGTGTGTGTCCAGATTCAGATTGCTCCTCAGACTGAATCTGCTCCCAACACGCACGCACGCACACCATCACTTGAAGCTCTCAGGTTAACCTCAGCTCCTCCACCTGAAACAGCTGGTCGGACTCACTGTCTGCGTGCACGCCCACCGCTCCCTCGCTGCTCTTCCTCCCGCAGCAGCAAGCACTGACTCATCAGGGAGTGACTCAGTGCGCATGCTTAAGATTGAAGGGACGCATTTTATGAAACGGAGCAGAGATTCACCAAAACTCCTCTCTGCTCCTTCATGTCCCTGCCGGAGGCCTGCTCCTCTCACAGGTCTGTGAGATTATCATCTGTGAAAATCTCTCTGGGTACCAAACAGTGTGTTTTTCCATCAGGCACAACCACCCCTCCCCCCCCCGGTCCCGGTTCTCACCGTGGGCCTCTTCCAGCTGACTCCGCGGACCTTGTAGGAGCTCGGGCCCAGCTCGTTGAAGCCCAGAGACTCGGGCGCGGCGGGGAACGTCGGGTCGCAGAAGAGCTTGCCCGCGGAACGGCACTGGGCGCGCAGCGCGTTGAAGTTCTGGTTCAGGTACGGGACCGCGTTCGCGTTGGTGCCAAAGCCCGCGGCCAGAGCGCGCTTCTTGGCCAGAGTGGACGCAACGCCGGACATGATGAAGAGGAGGAAGATCACACGGCTGTAAACTCCAACAACTTCAGCTGCTCAAAGTTTTCCCCACGCAGACCGCGCCCTGAACCAGAGGAGGAGCCACAGCCTCTGCCAGCCTCCACCCACCTCCAACCGCTCAGACGTACACCTCCCTCTGAGCAGGGAAACACAGCACGCGACGTGTTTACTGTATTTAAGACATCATATCACGCACACACACAGACCCACGCACACTTACCACCATCATTATCAGTGCTCTGCTGCCCCGCCCATTCACCTTCAGTTTTACAGAGCACCCAATCACAACAACAGTCGCCTCAAGGCGCTTTATATTGTACAGTAGAGCCCACAATAATAGATACAGCGAAAACCCAACAATCATATGAGCACTTTGGACAGTGGGAAGGAAAAACTCCCTTTGAACAGGAAGAAACCTCCAGCAGAACCAGGCTCAGGGAGGGCATGACCGGGAGCAGCCCTGGAACAGTGCGACTTCCTCTCACCTGTCTTTCAAAGAAACATGAAGAGCGCCCCCTGCAGGCAAACAACTCATTTTAATTGATCCTAATAATCAGTAAATATCATGTTATTTGATTATTGTTATTGATTTCTGCACCATCCACAGCAAATATAATGCAAATCATGTTCAGCGAAGCATCTCCATCCTCCGCTGATCCAGCCGCTCAGGTTATACAGGTGTTGATCAGAGTGGAAGTGCTGTGATTGGTCAGAATCAGCCCGAGATACATTCATAAAACACAAACCCCTATCACAGGTGCTGTTGGTCTCCTGTTTCTATGGCAATTTCTCCCAATCAGCTGTTCGTCAAACGTTTTGATGCTCTGGTGTAATAATGTGTGTGATTGAATGCATTATCATCATGCGACGATAGCCACCTGTGCTTTCAAGTTCGTTTTATTTGCTGTGTCCAAGTAACATAGACACATCTGTCAAATCAGCATACACTGTGAGATCGCCATACCTGTATCATCAAACGACACAATGAAATTCTTCAGCTCAGAGCGCCTCAGCATTGCACATGAAGTAACACTTTGAGACAAGACGTATATCAATAAACATGTACAGCGTGCCCAGTGATTGTGCAACATACTGTCTGATGTCTTAGCAGTTCAGCAGGTTGATGGCTTGAGGGTGTCGCCATGGAGATGGCGTGAGGCAAAACTACAAAAACGTGTCTGAATTTCAAAGAGAAGAAGAAACGACAGGAGAAGAAAAGCAAAGAGAGAACGAGAAGAGAGCCCTGTCGGTCACATCTGTGCGAATTCATGTGGAGGAAACAGGAAGCGCGTCTGTGTGTTACTGCGTTGTCATGGCGTCAGGTCTCTTTCCTGTTTTATATTTGAGAAAAGCTTTAATACGTAGAAGGTTTTTATGTTCCCGAGCCTCTGAAGCTGAGCTCATGTGTTTGTTTAAGCAGTGCTAAGATACTAACCCTGTTATTAATAACAATAATAAACCCACCACCAGTAAACACACTTCATCCAGATTCAGTCCGCTTTCATTTACACAGCTCTCACTGCTTCACGCTGGAGCAATTTGGCAACAGTGGAAAGGAAGAACGACCTTTTAACAGGAAGAGCCCTCTAACAGATCCAGGATCAGCATGAAGAGCGTGAGCAGGCTTGCGCAGCGGCCCGCCTCTCTCTGTTGCGTGCCAAGCGTTTGCTGTTTTTTGGGCGTCTTATCAAAGAGCCGTTTAGACTGAGCGGCTCAGACATCAGAGAGAAAACAAACGAGCTGCTGTTTGAAGAAAGAGGCTCCGGCCGTTAAACATTAATGAGATAACAAGCAGCCGAGCTGCTCCATCTGCTGCACAGGTGAGAACAGGGCTTCAGTTCAGCTGCTGTCTTTCAACAGCGTGCAGAGTAAGGATCGCGTGACGATGTGAGCTGACACTTCTCAGTGACATCATTTCTTAGCAGGAATTTAAAATAACGCATAAAATAAAAACACGTGACAGGAGCCATTTCTGCTCGGTCTGAGTCACTCCTCGGGCTTCTGCACGAGAAAAATTTCACATCAGTCGATGTTTGATGACCCTCGTCATCAGCTCCATGCTTCCCTCCATCAGAACCGGGCTTCGTCACAGCAGACTGAACGTCATCGTCACCTCTTAGCCGATCGATAGAAACACTGCTGCGGTTCGTAATGATTGTTATCATCGCTAATCATGTCTCGTCCAATCAGGAGCTGTGTTCTGATCCTCGCTTCATCGCTGACGGAGCCTGAAGAACAGACGTCTGTCAGGGAGAGCTGGGTGAGTTTGATGACAGCGGGCGTGCTCGTCGCTGACAGGAAAAGGAAACATCACACAACACTTAAACTCTGCTTTAAGAAGTTTGTAAAATAAAATGCGACAGAGAAAATCATCCCAGGGAATAAATTTTCTGAAGTGGTTTGACGAGTAAAGGACAAAAACTTTCAGCTCCTTTATCCACAGAAATGACCTCTCAGAGGCTCAGAGAGTGATCATGTGACCTGTGTCTGTCAGGTGACTGCTGGCTCCTGGCAGCCATTGCCTGACTCTGGACCCTCAGATCCTGAACAGAGTGGTCCCTCCTGGGCAGAGCTTCACCTCACAGTATGCCAGCATCTTCCACTTCCAGGTCGCTCACCTTTTTAAAGAAACAGAAATAACACACAGTACAGGGTGGGGGTGTAATTACAGAGGAAGTGACATCTTGTTCACATCTGTCCTCTGTAGTTATGGCAGTACGGGGAGTGGGCGGACGTAGTCGTGGACGACCGGCTGCCCATCAGAGATGGGAAACTGCTGTTCGTCCACTGAGCGGAGGGAGTGGAGTTCTGGAGTGCTGTGCTGGAGAAACCCTACGCTAAGTAAGAGCAACCTGTGAGGTCTAACAAAGCTGACCTGTAATTAAACTCACTTTTATTTATGTGGCACTGAATCACAACAACAAGTGGCTTCATGGACAGATAGAGCTGGGTGTCATCTGCATAGCAGTGTAAATGTATGCTATGTCTTCTAATGATGCTGCCTAAGGGAAGCATGTATAATGTAAACAGAATTGGTCCTAGCACTGAACCCTGTGGAACTCCATAATTAACCTCAGTGTGTGAA